GTACATGTCTACAAAGACAAATATTAAAACAAAACTCAATAGCATCCTTCTGTCATTATGGCAGCTTGAAACAATTCCTATCATCGACATTTTATCAGTTCGATATGGTACATGTCTACAAAGACAAATATTAAAACAAAACTCAATAGCATCCTTCTGTCATTATGGCAGCTTGAAACAATTCCTATCATCGACATTTTATCAGTTCGATATGGTACATGTCTACAAAGACAAATATTAAAACAAAACTCAATAGCATCCTTCTGTCATTATGGCAGCTTGAAACAATTCCTATCATCGACATTTTATCAGTTCGATATGGTACATGTCTACAAAGACAAATATTAAAACAAAACTCAATAGCATCCTTCTGTCATTATGGCAGCTTGAAACAATTCCTATCATCGACATTTTATCAGTTCGATATGGTACATGTCTACAAAGACAAATATTAAAACAAAACTCAATAGCATCCTTCTGTCATTATGGCAGCTTGAAACAATTCCTATCATCGATATTTTATCAGTTCGAAAGGGTAAATGTCTACAAAGACAAATATTAAAACAATAATCAAAAGCATCCTCCTGTCATTATGGCAGCTTGAAACAATTCCTATCATCGACATTTATCAGTTCGATATGGTACATGTCCACAAAGACAAATATTAAAACATAACTCAATAGCATCCTTCTGTCAGCATGGCAGCTTGAAACAATTCCTATCATCGACATTTTATCAGTTCGATATGGTACATGTCTACAAAGACAAATATTAAAACAAAACTCAATAGCATCCTTCTGTCATTATGGCAGCTTGAAACAATTCCTATCATCGATATTTTATCAGTTCGATATTGTACATGTCTACAAAGACAAATATTAAAACAAAACTCAATAGCATCCTTCTGTCATTATGGCAGCTTGAAACAATTCCTATCATCGACATTTTATCAGTTCGATATGGTAAATGTCTACAAAGACAAATATTAAAACAAAAATCAAAAACATCCTTCTGTCATTATGACAGCTTGAAACAATTCCTATCATCGACATTTAATCAGTTCGATATGGTACATGTCTACAAAGACAAATATTAAAACGAAACTCAATAGCAACCTTCTGTCATTATAGCAGCTTGAAACAATTCCTATCATCGACATTTTATCAGTTCGATATGGTAAATGTCTACAAAGACAAATATTAAAACACAACTCAAAAGCATCCTTCTGTCATTATGACAGCTTGGAACAATTCCTATCATCGACATTTTATCAGTTTGATATGGTACATGCCTACAAAGACAAATATTAAAACGAAACTCAATAGCAACCTTCTGTCATATCAGTTCGATATAGTACATGTCTACAAAGACAAATATTAAAACACAACTCAAAAGCATCCTTCTGTCATTATGGCAGCTTGAAACAATTCCTATCATCGACACACATATCTCTTCACATTAAGTGTAACACATACGCGATGCGTGAAAGATCTTCAAAAGTCTTAATGATTACCAATTTTGCCGGGGGGAGGGGGTCGTCAAAATTAAATCACGAAAGATTGCGATGACAAGAGAAACCATCGTGTTCCTTCGCGATCGCGCTCTCTGAGGCGTGAGACGTCGACTCTATATTAACCTGTAAAATGGAGATGCTAGGAGACGATAGTATACTATCAGTAAGAGAGATGACTTTGACCAGAGATATATAGAGCCGTATCTAACAGTAAAATGTTTTGTTTTTTAATGTAACTGAAATGTCTCTCTTTTCTCTCTTCTCTCTTCCTAAGAATGTCATAAAATACAGCAGCATACGAAAGTGTTAACATTGCTTACTTGCCGCAACTGTCGGCAACAGATGACACGATGACTTGGAAATGTTATTTCTTTGGTAGTTTATGTAACATATTACATCCTCACCTTGAAATATATATGCATGTAGGACTCTAAATCAATGACAATTCCTTGAAAATATTTAACATTTCTTGTTCTAGAAATTATGAAGATTATTTGTTTCCAACTATCTCACGGACTAAACATTTCTGGAAGAAAATGTGGGTTTGTTTTTCAATTACCAAGATTTCGCACGCTTGCACCTATGAAATAAAAACATTATAATTGAGTTAAAAAGGACGAAATCTAAGTAGTTAATCTTACAAACGAACCCGTTTTTTATTTTTTTTTATTCAGTATACTATTAGCTGGCATCGTGTGATCCCTGTGTTATATGAATTTGAACCATAGGTAGGTAGTTTTCAAAGCACAAAATTGTATTGTAAAATGTATACAAAAGTCTGCGGATAAAAACGAAACGTATGTATGTCTTTAGTATCCATATAAATAGATAATAATATTTCTGAGGCTTATATATATGGGCACTAGTACGCTTTAACACAAAATATGCGTAACTTTTTTCATGTTAATGCTGTAAAGAACGGGGATGTGTTCAAGACACTTTATGAATGTTAACAAAATATTCCTGCTATGATATTGCTTTATTACATGAAATATGGTTCACATCAACGAAAAAAGTGCCAATTTTTTTCTCATTACGTCTACCATTCCGCGTTATTTTGACGATAATTGTCAAGGTTGTCTCCCCTTATCTATAGAGATCGGTCAATACATGGACATTCCCTAGGAAGTGGTGATTTATTTAAAATGTGATTTATTGTAATGTAAGAGCTGGTATTTTTAATTATGCAAATCTATTTTCTCAGAGTTTTTCATAAAAAAAGATAAGTAGACGTGTCTATTGCAGATGCACGATATCCAATCATTATCAGGGGAACCTGTATTTATCCTTTACCACGTGAGGACTGGACATTGCTTTTCAAGCAGTTTATTTACGTATATAGTGAGTACTGTGATTCGTGACACTCAATCATATAAACGTCTGTACAGAATAGTGAGTAATTATGTTAAATGACAATTGTTTGTGTGTTTTCATTTGAGCAGAGACATATCACCCCTTGGTGAATACAATGGTGGTTTAATAAACTTGTAAAGGAGAATATTGTTTTTAATGAATGTTTGTGTTGTATGCACGTCCACTTATCTTACCTTGCTATCCCCATGTATATAGTCCGTTCCAAATGTCCAGTTTGACCAGTAGTACCAATAACGTCACCTAACGGTTTTGAAACGAGGCAGTTAACAGGTGGTTTGACAGAGATGCAAAGTTTCCAATGGGGCCCCAGTGAGGGGGCCGTTAGGCAACTGCAACTTCTTACCGCACTATGAAACCAAGTAACATGATTTCCATGTCCGTGTTGAAACTTATTGAATTCCCTAAGCGGTAATTTTTCATCATCAGATGTTAATTGCACACATGCTATAATTCAAAATTAAAATGTAGAAATATGTGTTGGCCTCCCGGCATTAGTTATAAATACCAGGAAATATCTATTACCGGAATGTGACCGGTACAAATGGATACAGGGCTGAACACCTTCCTTCAATCATGGGACAAACCTTTCTGTAAAATGGAATATCAACGAGACGAATATCCTATTTAAAATGTTTTCATAAAGTGTATATATGCATTGTCAAGTATCACAAAAGAGAGAAATGGCCTTTTTTTCTAGACCATGCATATATATATATCCATGTTTGCTCTCTTTCCCACTGTCACTGTCTTCATACGTTAACACTTAGTAAGTCATATAAGCCATCACAAACAATTAACATTTCTGACAAAACCACTACGTGTACAGAGTATGTGTCAGATATGGAACGTGTTGAGGTGCTTGATAATGATATGTTTTCAATACTTTACAGATATGAAAGCATTCTTGTTAATGGACCCTTTTTATGTTGAGACAACTTTTCTTTCTTTAATCAGTTTCTTTTGTCCGAAACATTTTTTTGACAAAAAGTTGATGCATGATCATGCATTCTAAGTCAACATCATGTGAAAACTGTTAAAACATTACGATTAAAAGTATTTTTGTTATGCGATCCTCTTTACTATAAGTAGGTTCTCATTCCTCAGTTATTCATCTTGAACCGTCATTTTCATATATTTAAATCTTGCATGTGAATACAAAATTGTTTATTTCAGCAATATAATTAAATCATACCATTTAACTGAACTCGGGACTATTGTAAATTATGTAAATCTAATAGCGCACGTATGTCATTCGACCCCGAGTACCGACAGCGGAGAGGACATCACAACATGTACAGTTACCTCTTGAAGGGCCCCATAGCAAAATCAAACTAACCAGTCATTTTTCCCTTCCAGTCGCATAAACTACTGTATATAGAAACACAAAGTAAACTCACTCCGATACATTACCATAACAAAATAAATTCATCTGTGATCCAACTTAGACAAAGATACTAGCGAGGTTAATATATTTAGATATTTATTCATAACATAAAAAGCATTTCTGTCGACTCCATTTCAGCTTTATACCGGCTATCCGGAAGAATACATGAACCGTACTAACTGCTAGGGCAGTTATTTTCTCCTTTGAATACTTCCCACCTGCAATTATGCTTCTGTAACGTAATCCTTGCGCCATCTTTGGAACATTTGTCAACTTTTCGCTTCGTACATGTAGCTGAAGCGGTAACGGTTTTCTCTCGCTAACTTCCCACGGCCAGTCATTTTTTACAATGAAATGGTGTGCTATGCGTAGCGCTAGAAGAGGAAAATCCTTGAACAAAACGTTAGTCAGACAGGTAGAAATCCCGATAATTATCTTAAAATTATTAATTTTTATGAATATATTTCAGCCAAATCCGACCGTTATTTTTCATAAGGAGACTCCCTTGATATGTTCATGTAGTATTTGAATGAAAACATGTCTGCACGGTGATGTCCCTTTAATACATATGCTAATTTCGCTGATGTTTTATTTACCCATTTTTTGGTTATTTGATATATTCAAATTTGTAAATTATGACGTTGCAAAGCATTGTTACGTGACGTCATAATTAGAAAATTGACCAATGAAATACTGCCCAGGGTGTTACCCAAATTGTTTTACCAAATCCTAGCAGGATTGTTCGATGAGTCTGGAGTGAGGAAATCCATAGTGGTTGTGGGAGAATAAATGTTCTTGTTATGTCAGAAAAAAATTGTGCGGAGTACTACTTGGTTAAATTCGAAATCGAGATTTACTTAGGTCCGGAGAGAGATCAGTAGTATGACGGACAGTGATGACTAGGGGGTCAACAGTATCTGAATACACAATATTTTCATATCTGGATATGATTATGAATGAATTAAGGCAGTCAAGTGAAAACCGTGAAATTGAATGAGGATGAAAATTATACAATTTCTGGTACTGGCAATCAATTATTTTGTCGTTAACTAGCTCTTCAACAGATTTGCCATGCACCCTTTACATGTTTGCTGGGAATCGACGGACTGGAACTTACACCCCTCCAGCCACTTGCAGTACACACGTGACCCACGCTTCGTTTCACATTCAGCACATGGCATGCATTGGATCCTTTCGTAAGAGTAAACTTAGTGGTAAACGACTGTACCGAGCTGTACTGACTACTACGGAAGGTAGGTTTACTTTTATTTACACTATCCTAATTAGTTTCAGCAATATTTACTTAATCTAGAATACTTATATAGATCGGTTCATTTAAGATTCAATAAATAACAAGAACGTGTGTAAAAGTACCACATACATTTCGTATTTTGGAGTTAATTAAGCCATGTATGTGATTTAAATGTTTTCTGTTTGGTGCAACGTTTTTGAATCCTATTGAAAGTTACGACAGGTGAAAAAACTTATTATTTTAGCCAACTAACTTGTTTGTCTATATTTTTTTTAATCAAAACAACTCAAAAGCTTTTTACTCTGCCACCGTATTGATTTTATTTTTGTTCTACAATCACTGGTGCTATATTCTAATTGGCTCATACTTAATCTTGCAAATAACAACACAAGTAGCTCAGAATATCATTTGTTGTAATGTTCGTACATAATTCATGATAACGGTGTGGATTTCTTTATGTAACATATATGACCTATTTTAGGGCACACACACCCGTGTGTGTCCTGCTTTCCTCATTCTACTTATCAATCGCATTCAATATTACAAACAAAGACCAACACGAAAGGCCATACAGCTATATTTATTTATAAATCAACATTCGTAGAAACAAAATGTTATATGAGCCGACTCCCTTGTTTGTCTGAGGTGATTTGAGCAATTGGTTTTCCAGATCATTGCTATAATTACACGTGCAAAATATTGTTTTGCGTTTCACAATATATCATGGAGGTGATAAGTATCACTAAGCTGTGTAATTGGAAATAAGAAAGAAGATTAAAAACCAGACAAACATTTTACACTGTTGGCGACATTTTTATCTATATCCTTAAATTTCCTTGTGCTATTATTAGTTTGGGGTGTTTTTTATTGGTTGATCTGTTGATTGGAGAGAAGCTATACAGAAAAAGTGCACGTATCCGTCTCACCAACCGACAAGTTTCAAATTTCATCTTTACGAACTAAATTTGTGTTTAAATGTCAACCAGACTGGATATGTATGAGAAAACGTCTATATACATTTCGCGAATGCCGCAAATTACTCACACGACATGGTAAATTAAAGCTGTGGACACTGTCTTGATATGACTTTGACAGTTGCGTGAACATAAAACTCTACACAAAGTAAGTGTATAGTATAATGGTTTCAAATGCATGCCGATTAATCTAAAAATAATCCCAGCATCGTTTTCCGACGCTTTGTACATTTTGTCCCTGTGTGTTGACGCGGCAGTATTCTTTGGCTTTATATTTGTCGCTATTGTTTATTTTGTCCTTTTCTGCTGATGTTGTTATTTATTTGGCCCTTGTTGGTAGACGTTGTTCTGGCTCATCTTGTCATTGTCTGTTATGTTGTGGTATAAATTGTCCTTGCCTGTTTGTGCTTTGGTATACTTGCCCTATACATGTTGTTTTATATTTGTCTTTGAATGTTAATTTTGTGATATATTTTGTCCTTGTCTGTCGATGGTGTAGTCTATTTTGTCTTATTTTGTTTTTGTTTTGTCCTTTTCTGTTAATGTTGTGGTATGTTTTGTCTTTTTCTATTGATGTTGTGATATATTTAATCCTTGTCTATTCATGTTTGTTATCCTTTGTCGCTGTTTGTTGGTGCTGTGGTATATATTGTCCTTTTCTGTTAATGCTTTCGTATACTTTGTCCTTGTCTGTTAATCTTTTGATTTTTTTGTCCTTTTCTGTTGATGTGGTGGTATACTTTACCCTTGTCTGTTGATGCTGTGGTATACTTTGTCTGTTAATTCTTTGATATACTTTGTCCTTGTCTGTTAATATTTTGATATTTTTTTCCTTTTCTGTTGATGCTGTGGTATATTTTGCCTTTGTGTGTTTTTGCTGTGGTTATTTTGTCCTTCTCTGTTGATGCCGTGTTATAGTTTGTCCTTGTCTGTTGATACTGTGTTATAGATTGTCCTATCTGTTGATGCTGTGTTATAGTTTGTCCTATCTGTTGATGCTGTGTTATAGTTTGTCCTATCTGTTGATGCTGTGTTATAGTTCGTCCTATCTGTTGATGCTGTGTTATAGTTTGTCCTATCTGTTGATACTTTGTTATAGTTTGCCCTTGTCTGTTGATACTCTGTTATAGATTGTCCTTGTCTTTTGATGCTGTGGTTATTTTGTCCTTGTCTGTTGATGCTGTGTTATAGTTTGTTCTGCTCTGTTAATGTTGTGGTATATTTTGTCCTTGTGTGTCAACGATGTGGTTTGATTTGTCCTTGTCTGTTAATGCATTGGTGTACTTAGTCCATGTCTGTTGATGATGTGGTATTCTTTGTTTGTTATTGTTGTGATATATTGTGTCATTTTCTGTGGATGCTGTCGTATATGTTTTCGTTGTCCGTTAATGTTGTGGTATACTTTGTCTGTTAATGTTACGAGATATTTCGTCCTTTTCTATTGATGCTGTGACTATTTTATCCTGGTCCGTTCATGTTGTTGAATAGATTGTCCTTGTCTGTTAATGGTGTGGTTTATGTTGTCCTTGTCTGTCAATGCTGTGGTTTATTTTGTCCTTGTCTGTTGATGCTGTGGTTTATTTTGTCCTTGTCTGTTGATTCTGTGGTATATTTTGTCCTTGTCTGTCAATGCTGTGGTTTATTTTGTCCTTTTCTGGTGATGCTGTGGTATGCTTTGTCTGTTAATGTTACGATATATTTTGTCCTTTTCTATTGATTCTGTGACTATTTTGTCCTGGTTCGTTCATGCTGTTGTATAGATTGTCCTTGTCCGTTAATGTTGTGGTATATTTTGTGTTATCCATTAGCTCTATAGTACCTTTTGACAATTGTACGTTACTGGTACCTGTACTCAAACTCTGCATATTTCATTTTAACCTGTACAGTGAACTATAGGAACGAACTAGCTATCGACATTTTTAGTTGGTTTTATACATAAAACATTAGACGTTGCACATTTCAAAAAAATACTACACATGTTTTGCTGTAATACAATATCATTTAACAATTTATCATGCAGCAAACACGCAACCAATGACAACCAAGTGATAGTTAAACAACAAATAACTTAGGTAAACAAATGGTTTGTCTTACAATGAAAATCGTGCAACAGACCTAACCTTGCAACTGACTTGTCAAACATATACCACCTTGTCCCAAAATGACTGCAAACAAGACTTTAAAGAAAATGCTTAATTAACAAAATCTTTCAAGGTAACATATTTCAAAGGATATTTGATATGAGTAAACTCTAAAAAGATGACAGTTCATGTAAATACAATCTTGGTTTAGAGAGTTTGATGTTTATTTTATATCCTATACTGTACAAATATGTAACTATTTGAAACTATGAAACTACATTTGGGGAGCATTACAGGCGAATGTCTACCGATATACAGTTAAAGTATTTATTTAGTATTGGTTTAACTCATGGGAACATAATAAGGGGACACCTTCCGATACGAAAGGCTAGAGCATTATTATAGGGTCTAAACTATGGCACATTAAAACTGAGCATCTTCAGGTATATAAAGGTCATAATATGTTCAAAGGTTTTCTATTTGGGAACATGGTAAGAGAACGCCTTCATCAATATAATTTAAAAACAAGGTTATGGATAATAGAAATTACCTTCAGGGTATCAGGTTTCCGGATTTAAGGATCATTTCAATCTTGTGAGAAAAGAATTTCATTTCGATATTGATTTCAAGTTGTCAAAACTTATTTTGTAAATTGATCGAATATTCAAAATGGCCAATGTTAAGATATATTCTGATAATTCCATAAGCAATATTTCAAAATGCATTCACTGCAAAAGATTAACTCTTAAATTTATGTATAGACTTTTACTTTTATTTCAAATATCAACACCAGGTTCTCACTATGGGATACGATTAAGGTAACAAATGACGATTTCAAAAAAATACTTAAACTGACCTTCATGTTAGTTCATATACAAGATAGGGTATCTGGGACAATTCAATGGCAAAACTACAAACATCAAGGTCACTGATCTATTCTTTATGATAGATATATTGCGATATGTGTGTAGTATTTCCATTTGGAATACACTATTCTCTTTTAATTCCATCAAATAAATATTCAAATAATTGACTTATAACAAGCTGGAATCAAGGCTGACAAGTTTGGAACAGCTATGTAGGTCAAATATGCAAAATTTTACAAAAGACCAATGGAGAGGCAATTGAGCCATACTTCTTGTTTGTTGTTTGCTTAATGCCTAGCGAAGTGAAAATTTGACCTACATTCTTGAACCGTATGAAGTGGATGAGTTTAACGATATTGTACCTGTTGCATGCAACGGTGGCATCAGCTTACATTCAAGGTCACAATAACATGTAATAGATCATGTGATAGAGTATTACATGTTCAGGCTGGTGGATAGGGACAATAACCTGACATATACCATGTGGTAGACTAGTTCATTTTCAGGCTGGTAGATAGGGACAATAATCTGACACAGACCATGTGAAGACTATTCATAATTAGGCTGGTGGATAGGGGCATTAACCAAACACAGACCATGTGATAGCCAAGTACATGTATAGGCTAGTGTATATGGATAACAATATCCCGACACAAATCATGTGATAGCCAAGTACATGTTCAAACTAGTGGATAGGGACAATAACCTGACATAAACCATGTGGAAGACTAGTTCATATTTAGGCTGATGGATAGGGGCATTAACCAAACACAGACCATGTGATATCCAGGTACATGTTCAGACAGTTGGATAGGGACAATAACCTGCCACAGACCATGTGATTGACTAGTGCATGTTTAGTCTGGTGGAAGGGACAATAACCTGACACAGACCATGCGATAGACTAGTACATGTCCAGACTAGTGAATATGGACAATAACCTGACATTAACCATGTAATTAACTAGTACATATTTAGGACAATTACCTGACATAAATCATGTGGTAGACTAGTTCATTTTCAGGCTGGTAGATAGGAACAATAATCTGACACAGACCATGTGGTAGACTAGTGTATGTTCAGGCTGTTGGATAATGACAATAAATTTACACAGACCATGTGATTGACTATTTCATGTTTAGGCTGGTGGATAGGGACATGAACCAAACACAGACCATGTGATAGCCAAGTACATGTTCAGACTAATGGATAGGGACAATAATCTGACATATACCATGTGATTGACTAGTACATGTTCAGACTGTTGGATAAGGGCAATAACCTGACACAGACCATGTTATTGACTATACATGTTTAGGCTAGTGTATATGGATATCAATAACAAGACACAGACCATTTGATTGACTAATACATGTTCAGACTATTTGATAGGTACAATAAGCTGACACAGACCATGTGATTGACTAGTACATGTTTAGGCTAGTGGATATGGACAATAACCTGATACAGACCATGCTATAGACTAGTACATGTTCAGACAGATGGATAGGGACAATAATCTGACATATACCATGTGATTGAGTAGTACATGTTCAGACAGTTGGATAGGGACAATAACCTGACATATACCATGTGATTGACTAGTACATGTTTAGTCTGGTGGAAGGGACAATAACCTGACATATACCATGTGATAGACTAGTACATGTTTAGGCTTGTAGATGTGGACAATAACCTGACATCTACCAAGTGGTAGACTAGTTCATGTTCAGGCTTGTAGATGTGGACAATAACCTGACATATACCATGTGGTAGACTAGTACATGTTCAGGCTTGTGGATAGGGACAATAATCTGACACAGACCATGTGATAGACTATTTCATGTTCAGGCTTGTCGACAGGGACAATAATCTGACATATACCATGTGGTAGACTAGTTCATGTTCAGGCTGTTGGATAGGGACAATAACCTGACATATACCATGTGATAGACTAGTACATGTTTTGGCTTGTAGATGTGGACAATAATCTGACATATACCATGTGGTAGACTAGTTCATGTTCAGGCTGGAGGATAGGGACAATAATCTGACACAGACCATGTGATAGACTAGTACATGTTCAGATTGTTGGATAGGGACAATAATCTGACACAGACCATGTGATAGACTAGTACATGTTCAGACTGTTGGATAGGGACAATTACCTGACATATACCATGTGATAGACTAGTTCATGTTTTGGCTTGTAGATGTGGACAATAATCTGACATATACCATGTGGTAGACTAGTTCATGTTCAGGCTGGAGGATAGGGACAATGACCTGACATATACCATGTGATAGACTAGTACATGTTTAGGCTTGTAGATGTGGACAATAACCTGACATCTACCAAGTGGTAGACTAGTTCATATTCAGGCTTGTAGATGTGGACAATAACCTGACATATACCATGTGGTAGACTAGTTCATGTTCAGGCTGTTGGATAGGGACAATAACCTGACATATACCATGTGATAGACTAGTTCATGTTTTGGCTTGTAGATGGGGACAATAACCTGACATATACCATGTGGTAGACTAGTTCATGTTCAGGCTGTAGGATAGGGACAATAATCTGACACAGACCATGGGATAGACTAGTTCATGTTCAGGCTGGAGGCTAGGGACAATAATCTGACACAGACCATGTGATAGACTAGTACATGTTTTGGCTTGTAGATGTGGACAATAACCTGACATATACCACGTGGTAGATAAGTTCATGTTTAGACTGCTGGATAGGGACAATAACCTGACATATACCATGTGATTGACTAGTTCATGTTCAGGCTTGTGGATAGGGACAATAATCTGACATATACCATGTGATAGACTAGTACATGTTCAGGCTTGTGGATAGGGACAATAATCTGACACAGACCATGTGATAGACTAGTTCATGTTCAGGCTTGTGGATAGGGACAATAATCTGACATATACCATGTAGTAGACTAGTTCATGTTCAGGCTGTTGGATAGGGACAATAACCTGACATATACCATGTGATTGACTAGTTCATGTTCAGGCTTGTGGATAGGGAAAATAATCTGACATATACCATGTGATAGACTAGTACATGTTTCGGCTTGTAGATGTGGACAATAATCTGACATATGCCATGTGGTAGACTAGTTCATGTTCAGGCTTGAGGATAGGGACAATAATCTGACACAGACCATGTGATAGACTAGTACATATTCAGACTGTTGGATAGGGACAATAACCTGACATATACCATGTGATAGACTAGTACATGTTTTGGCTTGTAGATGTGGACAATAATCTGACATATACCATGTGGTAGACTAGTTCATGTTCAGGCTGGAGGATAGGGACAATGACCTAACACAGACCATGTGATTGACAAGTCCATGTTTAGTCTGTTGGATAGGGACAATAACCCGACACAGACCATGCGATAGGCTAGTAAATGTTTAGACAGGTGAATAGGGACATGAACCTGACACAGACCATGTGAAAGCCAGGGTACATGTTCAGACTAGTGGATAGGGACAATAACCTGATATATACCATGTGGTAGACTAGTTCATGTTCAGACTGGTGGATAGGGACAATAACCTGACATATACCATGTGATTGACTAGTTCATGTTCAGACTGTTGGATAGGGACAATGACCTGACACAGACCATTTTATTGACTAATACATGTTCAGACTAGTGGATAGGTACAGTAACCTGAAATATACCATGTGATTGACTAGTCCATGTTTAGTCTGTTTGATAGGGACAATAACCTGACACAGACCATGTGATAGCCAGGTACATGTTCAGACTAGTGGATAGGGACAATAACCTGACATATACCATGTGATTGACTAGTAAATGTTGAGACTGTTGGATAGGAACAATAACCTGACGAAGAGCATGTGATTGACTAGTACATGTTTAGTTTGGTGGATAGGGACAATAACCTGACACAGACCATGCGATAGACTAGTACATGTTTAGACAGGTGGATAGGGCATGAACCTGACACAGACCATGTGGTAGACCAATTCATGTTCAGGCTGGTGGATAGGGACAAAAACCTGACATACACCATGTGGTAGACTAGTACATGTTCAGACTAGTGGATAGGGACAATAAACTTACCCAGACCATGTGATTGACTAGTACATATTTAGCTTGGTGGATAGGGACAATAAAGCTGACACAGGTCATATAATAGACGAGGACATGTCTAGGCTAGAAGATAGGGACTGTAACATGAAAATATAAATATCTCTTGAAAGTTCGAGTTTCAATGAATATGTATAAGATCACTTAATGCATGAAGGGCTCAGTCGGGTACGGGCAAGCACAACGTCGTCTCTATGTATTTCTCTACAATTACGACATGCTTTCACCAATGACATGCCTTATAGAGTTCAATTTACCAACATATTTATTCTAAATAGTTTGCCGTTCTAATCTTATAACAGGTTTATATCCGCGGCTTGAAATAAACAAAATCAAATTCCTAATCAACAGGTGGTGGTGATTAATTGTCGTCATTTCCGTATTGCGTATCGGGCATTTCAATACCGTAGTATAAATTACAGAAACACCGGGTAAACAATCGTACACCTGCGTGACGATGATATGTCAACATCTGATATCGAGACTTAACTGTGAAATGCGAAACCACACGTATATAAAAATATAGATGCCGATAAAAAGGCAAAAACTGACTCATAAAAAGAACTGACATGAGACCAGACGACTTCACGAAGGTCATATATGAAGCGCATGGAATACGGACTGACGCGTTTTGTGTACCGACCACATATGTGCACATCGCGTACTTACACCAGTTCACAAATTCGAGGTCGCTACGATTTTCGGTATAGAACGAGTTACGCTCTGTCGAGTAAATAGTTATTATAAATGCAGTGTTAAAGGTGTATCCTGTTTGTCTTTAGCTTCTAGATAATCACTTGTATTCGTACAATTTCAATAAGAATACTTTGTGTAGCGTTATTTATATATTTTGTGATAAATAAAATATGTGTAGGGTTAGTTAGCAATGCTTCTTTTCATTTTTATATTGTTGTTAATGTTCCGAACAATGTCACACACCAAAAAATGAAAAATATTAAGATTGGCGATAACTTCTTTCTTTTGTGTATTTTTTTTTAATATCTGCAGTCTACCGGAATGCTTAAAGTTTCCTTAAATCACCTCTACATAGTTGCATAACCATTATGTAAACGTTTCAAAGGATGGAGACTCCTCTAATGAAATTATTGTCACAATCTGGATATGCACTTTCCATTATTGTTTTTTCCAAATGTCTTGGAACCTAGCATAAAACTATATGACACTTTGAAGTAATATTATCTAACAATGCTAATATTGTCCTAACTGATATATTCATTAAATGGCTATTGTAAAAGCTGTCTAAAATTGATAGAATATATAACTCATTTCGGTGCAGTATTTGTTATATGTTTAAGAGTGAGATTGGTATCATGGGCTTTTGCAGAGAATATTGATGCTTCATTTGTTAGCTCATTTCTTTTGTAGTCATGGCAGGGTGAAAGTATGATCATCTTTCAAACATCAGTATAAAATGATGGATAATTATCATTTATAGTTTTACCAATTATTTAAGAAATATGGACATTGTGGATATCAATTTGGCCATATTCAAAAGAGATGGAATTCGAATATCAATAGTTTGAATATAGTTGTTTTGTTTGAAATGCAGTTTTATAATTTAGATTTAGTACGGGTGAGTCAATTTTAATAATGTAATTATAATTTAAATGCATAATGTTATAATAGTTTCTCTCGACGATTATATAACGATGGCTCGTTTGCTTCCATGTAGATGTGACTCTCTTGCTGATTTCTAAACATTCGATCCATCGTCCAGTTTAGATGCGTCAGACATGCGTTTTGATAATTGTCAATCTAATAGATTTTGTCCGGTAAAGGAAAGTGATTTCACCTTAATAAACATGTTCATGTATACATATATTTCTGTTTTCTATAGATGGGATTTATCATTTTCACCATTGCAGTCCTATTGACATTTGCCTTACCCAGCTCTGAATATGAATGTGACAAGTCCGCCACGCTGTGTGAGACCACGCTGGTGATCCAACATAGGCTAACCATGATGCACCCTACCGAACAACAAGTCTTTCCAGCCAATGGTAAACTATACAAATATGACGACCTGACACAAGCTACAGAAATACCAGTGGATGAAGTAATGACTGCCGATGGTTGGGAGGATAACAGACTGGTTGTTGTAGCAAACGAAAGTCTCCCAGGTCCTCCAATTATAGTGTATGAGGGACAAAGACTTAAAGTTCACGTCGTCAACAAAATGACGTCGGATACTGTGACTATACACTGGCACGGTATTCCTCAAAGACGACGCCCTTGGATGGACGGTGTTCCTTTTTTGACACAATGTCCAATCTTGTCTGGACAGACGTTCACATATGACTTCATTGCTGAACCTAAAGGAACGTACTGGTACCATTCCCATGTCGGTGATCAGCGAGCTAAAGGGATGAATGGTGCATTCATCATTAGAGAGAGAACATCAGCAATCAGGGAACAGATTATGACGGTACAAGACTGGAACCATAACTGGGGAGCCGATATGGATCACCAAAAATTGCTGCTTGGAACTTTTGTGAATCGTGTACCAGAACCACTGAGGCAATCTGTAGACGGGGGTCTTTTTGACCCATTCTATGTTACTTCCGTTCTAATCAATGGTAGAAGCCGTTATTACAACAAGTCCGGTCAACATAATGGTGCTCCTTTGTCAGTTGTCCATGTGGAAAAAGGAATGGACTACAGGTTTAGGGTTATCCACGTCGGAGCTCTATATCCCATTAGAATATCAATTGACAATCATGCCATTACTCTTGTCGCTTCAGACGGATACGATTTCCAACCAGTGAAGGTAGAATCTTTCATCATCAACCCAGGTGAAAGATACGATTTCATCATTAATGCCAATCAAGTCATTGGAAATTACTGGATAAGAGCTGAAACCCTAGAAGTTAATGCACATAAATCTGAGGCCGTTCTCCGCTACAATGGTGCAGATGTGTCTCAATACCCTTTAACGACTAGGAAAATATGCACTCCTGTTGAGAGATGTTTAGTTGTTAATTGTCCTTTTACAACCTTCCCTGCTGACTATTACACCGACTGTTTACGGTTTGATCATCTTCGGTCAGCTGCGGACAACGACCCTGCGCCCGAACCGACATCTCTGGACACATTTAAAGAACACTATTTGAACTTTGCTCTTCCTGATGAAGTTGCGTCAGTAAACGGAAGAGAGTTTATGAATCCCACAGTGTCTGCACTTACACAGCCATTAGAGATAACGTCCACATGCGACAACGTAGACTGCGGCGAGGAAAAAACATGCAAATGTACATTTTCACTTCCCACTACCCATAACGATGTAGTGCAACTTGTACTGATGAATATGGGGGTAGGGACAGGTGACGCCCATCCAGTTCACCTCCATGGTTATTCATTTTACGTGCTGAAAATGGGATATGCTACTTATAATATGACTACCTCAAAGTTCATATCCCAAAACAATGACATCGATTGTCGCGGAAGTGGGGACATGACAACAAGGTTATGTAACGACGCTTCATGGAGAAATCCTAGTTGGCTTGGAAATAACGTCCCTGGATTGAATCTTATCAATCCTCCGCGAAAGGATACACTGATTATACCTAGCGGTGGCTACGCTGTTATCAGGATCAAGGCTGATAACCCAGGTGTATGACTATTTCATTGTCACATCCAAGTGCACGGAATCTTCGGAATGAGAATGGTCCTCAATAGCTCATACAACATGCATCCAGCACCTCCAAAATCATTTCCTGTGTGCCGTGACTATCCTTCTTCCTTTCGTGAAGACTTTGTTGACCAGCATCAGAGTGGTGACCAGGATCAGAGTACCCACAGTGTCAACAAAGTGAAACAAATCGGCCCTGATGGTACGTAGCAAACCTAAAATGTTTTTGTCATATTCTAGCTATCAAAGATCTAAAGTCATATTAAGTGTTTACTCTATGTAGTTAAGTTTCGATATTTCAGTTAACTACGTACCTGAGATAAATACTTAGTAAATAGTATGATAAATTGTTACTCTCATATTTAAATTTAACATTTCTCATTTTTTATATTTATATTATATTTTTTTCATAATTGTTAATTTTTGTACTTTTTGTATACAAAATGTGCCTACATGTATCTTACAATAGTGGTTTTTATTACAGAAAGTGGTTATGGAATGAAGACTTTTTGGATAATGTTCACAGTGATGGGTATTATCATCCTGCTTTTGATTGCCTATATTCTGCACGTACGGAAGCAAGCCCAGCATTTCAAGAAGAAGTTGGAATCATCTTCAGAACCAACAAAAAGCGGGAAAGAAAATCCGTTCTTTTCAAAAATTTGACATTCTTTGTAATTACTTTCATGGGTAAACTCTTTCAAATAATGAAGTTGGTACACACAATCTTTGTTAATGTATAGAAGGCACAAGTTTACAATGCAGTATTTATTGCTGCCTCACTGTGACCGTGCAAACAACGAATATTATCACAATGCAACAATTTTACACTGTACTGTTTAAAAAATAACCAACGATGTGTTTGTATTTCTGTAGAATATATAACGAGGGTGAGAAAATGCTTGAAACATAATCAACAAGGACAGATTGTCAATATATTTCAATATAATCAATATATTTAAAAGACGAATTGTGCAGTTATAACTTTGAGTTAGACTTGTTAACGTCACGTGTCTGAAGTATAAGACTTATTTTGAATAATCTAATAACAATCTCGATACCAAGGTAGCGAAGGAAATATTCAAGTTTGAAACAACTGTCTAAAACTGAATTACGTTATTATCAGGAATTATTTCTAATATGAGGTTTTTGCAAGCTTTAATTTCTGTCTAAAATTTATAATTCAAGATGTAGTGGAATGTTTGTATTGCTACATTAACATACTAACGATACCAAGCATATCAGCCTTCTAAATACGCCAATAATCACGTATCAACGTTCAATAAGCTCAATGTATTGCGTTGTGGTTATATCTCAGTTATTTCCATGATGAGGTCTACCAAACCTTATACAACAAGAACATAAATAATGGATGTTAATGTCACTATGGAAATCCCCACACACCGTTTGTTTTTATTTATTTATTTTAAAAAGACTCATTTTAGCGTCAAAAATATTAAGAAAGGAAAGACATATTTGAACATGAATATTTTAATTAAATTACAATTTTACCATTTACCATATTTATCAACTGGGAAATCGCTTTCGATGTTAAAATCAGGTGCAGACTTGCTATTATGAGTTAACTGCAGTATGAATATGTGCAAAAGCTTGTTACATAGTCGGGGAAAATGAGAACATAAACAAAAATGTTAATACAATACTAACAATGCCTATATAGAATGAGTATAACGACAAAATAACCTTTTAATGTAATTGATCCGTTTATCGTATAAATTTGTTAAATATAGAAATGAACATAATAAATGACCTGATGAAGGATTGGAACTAAAAGGAATTCTGTGTAATGGTTGAAATAAAAGGATTTAAAAAACAAGTATTATGAGACAGTCATGAGTAATAAGACAAATGTCAGATTTTCACCAAAATACAGCGGACAAGTACCCTTATTTTCCTTCGATTTGAATAATAAAATCACCAAACGGAATAAATATCAAACATTTTATTGTTTTCTAATCAAGCGTATGCCAATGCGTATAGTTTTGGACAATATAAATGGGACTAAACAAGGATATATGGGATAACATTTTGCATTCTACCTTTAAAAGTAACTAAAACTTAAAAATGTCTCGATGGTTGAAATTTAGAACGTTATGCCTTTGAGTTAGGATTACAGACAGCTCCTGTTTGTATAACTTTTACTAGATAAAGGGAGACAATGATGCACGAATTCATTGCGAAGTCAACAATGTGTAGATATTATATCTATTCTTTAAACAAGTTGTAATAATCTTCTGGATCTATTACCTTATCAAAGTTTAAAAAATGCATACAGATTTGGTAACGAAATTATACTTTCGATTCAGACCAACATATACAAGATGGATATAGTTCACACAATAGTGTGAGCAAGAAAATTACAATTAAAATGGTAACATTTGAAAATGTCGTATGCTAATATATCATATGTTCATATGTAAATAAAAAGCGAAACAATACAAATAAAACTTGATGAAAATGAAACAAAACCATGGATAATACTATTGTATATATAAATCTGATTATCTGAAGAATCTCCTGGAAAAGATAAAAGCACTTAGTACGTTTTGTTGAGTTTTCTTCTTTTAAAATGACTGGTATTTTCTCGTCCGCAAGGATCATTTCACTACTGTTATTATATAATTATATCTATATCACAACTTAATATGGTGTTTATATTCATGGTAGGTATTGTTTTGGAGATAACATTTGATTATCCATTTATCGACACTAAATTAACTGGTATAAGCTTTTGACAAACCAATATTTCAATTCGACTCCAATGTAGCCAGGTAAGATATAAGTGTTATGCAGGCTATTCGACTTCTATGTAGCCAGGTAAGATATAAGTGTTATGCAGGCTATTCGACTACGATGTAGCCAGGTAAGATGAAAGGGTTATGCAGGCTATTCGACTTCGATGTAGCCAGGTACGATTAAATTGTTATGAAGGCTATGAGAGTGTGATACATGCTATGGTCACGGAAATATATATAAGTATGAGTTGTTTGAGTGTATGCCTCAAGTTTTGTAATCATGGAGGAAAAACATCTCCACCTCTATAGATATATGCAAACTAAGCTACCAAGCGAAGGTTATAGGCATGTCATTTGGTTACATAATACTGTTAATTATGTTTACTAATACCCATATACCTGATTTGTATGACATGTTTGTGAAGTACAGCAAACGAACAATATATTGAGATTGATTACATTTTTTTCTCACACTTTTGCAGCTTTTTGACTCCCGTAGCGCTAATAAAATCTCCAAAAATAATTTATAATTTCGTAATAATATTAATTTCATATTCCTTTAAATTACAATCGATATGATATGTATGCACAGTTTATAACTTAAAGAGAGGGCATTTACAGGATTTGCCAATTACACAATCCTTATTGTATGCAAAATATGAACAATAAAATTTTCCAAAATCGAGATACCCAGGTATGTATGTGTGCTCTATCATAGTGAACGAATGTTACTTAACTAAATGCACCGAAAATATGGTTCGAAGCATGTGAAATATGAAGTATTGATAAAAAGTATCTTCCTTACTCCTTGCTCAGTTAACAAACTGAAATTCAGCACATACTTATCCGTATTTGTTTCTATGCTTTAGCACTGGATAAATAATTCATATATTTTTTATAATTGAATGAAAGTATTTTAAATGTTTGACTACGATGGATTTCAAGAATGCATATATTTGTCATTGCGTTGTGGCCTGACTCCTGGTTCACAAAGGATACACAAATAAAACTTTTAAGTCATTTCTTATTTCATTCAAGATTCATGAAAAGAATATGTTAGATAACAATTTTGTCATAGAAGATATTTTACTTACAATATATAATCTTAGATTTGAACACAAAAAAAGTAATTAATAGATCTTCATTAACTCGTGTCGATTACGGCAGACGACCACATTGTATCACTTTTCATTGGTTTCTTTATTTTTGAAATACTGAACTTTATTTATTTGAATAATTTTTGTCGAGTTGTTCCATAAAAAAATAATAGATTAAAAAACAAATTCAACATTTATGACAGGTACAAATAAGCGCACTACAACAGCAGTAACAAGAGTTCGAGGAAATAGTGTTTGGGATTATTTTTTCTTAGCTGTGGATGAAGGGATAATATATATATAAAAAATATAGTTCTGCTTTAGGTTTTTTAAGAGAATGACTAAGAGATTACAGCGAAATATGTAAGACTTTGGAAAAGTATTTCTTTCAATAAAAAGAACTGAAGAAAAAAAATCGAATTTCGAGGTATCGGATGCAGTATAAACATGATAAAATAAGCTGATTGATCTTCTTATATATATAATAGATCATTGTGTTGCACAATTCTTATATCTTTATAAACGAATAACTGGTAACGATGATATATATTTGTGTCGGATATATCCAACCGAGTTATCGCCCTTATTACGGAACTGGTAACTTTTAATTGTTTCATCGTCCCTCGCTTATGCAGTTTTAACACAAATAAGATTCAGAATTATTAAAAATACAGAATGGACGGTACAGACCCCCGTTAGTTTGGTTAAACAATGGGAAGCTTACTCTCCGAGATCAAACTTATCCAAACTATAGTATTCTGGGTTACAGTTTTATGTTATCGTTACATATCTACTTCTACTAAGTTATTTTCAGATGAAATTGGTTAAAATGCGCCAAATCACTGAAAGATCCCAGCCGACCACCATATGTTTTTTTTTATCGATTCCAGAAAAATGTATCAATAAAACTGAAGGTCCCGTCTCTAAACACATGTAAATACATAATGTAAGTAGCCTTCAGCCGTAACATACGTACATCAGACACTGATTTATCAAAGTATAATAGCCTATTTTCTGATTTGGTGAAGTTTTGAATCCACCAAGATTTTACAAAATACTTTTGCATTATTTCTATCTAAAAGCAATATGTCCATAACGTGTCGCTATATAGACGCATGGCATCCGATGTCGACAGAATCATCAAAAAACCGTGAAGACAAATGACACACGTAACATCAAAAATATAATAAATTTCAACACACTGTTTCACAATATATGCTATATTTGACCTCAAAAAAATGTAAGAATAATTTGTTTTCCAAAAATGATAATATATGATATTTAAATATTATGTAATTAATCTTAATTCGATTGCATTTTGAATCAATCTTTTCTCAAATATATTTTTACAAATCTAAATTGAGCTGTCGTATCAATCGGGGCCCCTTCTATACTGCTATATTCACTCTGGTGTATCTACACCTACATAGCATCAGCAAAAACACACATCACATCAGAACAAGATCCGAATAAACAAGAATAAAGATTTACTAGTGTAAAATAATGTTCAATAAATCACGATATTGAAATAAGGTATTAAGATAAATATTATATTTGAAAGCAAAATAATTCATATAGATCAGACTTGATATAAAAATGTCATAAAAACATATTACTAAAACAAATATTTTCATCCGATATGGAAATGACTTAACAAGATAAAGATTTGACGTGACATTAAAACAGCATCGTACTGCCTTAGAGTAAATGTTTCATCTGCTATACAAATAATGTAAAAATAAACTTCTCAGGGTCATATAATGGAGATCATATCTGATATCAATATATTATTGGAATATACATAGTATACATAGTTAGAGTATTAAAATAAATGTTTCATTAAATAACTGTAAGGATACACATGGAATTGATATCCGATATAAAATTCATGTACAAATATGTAGTGTAATAAATGGTTCTTCGGTCATCAAAATGTAAGGATATGCGTGCTAATGTTTTTTTATAAATTTATGTTTAATATCAAAATAATGTATAAAATAGTCTGGTGGTTATAATAGACATGTTTCTAATTAAAGGAACCCAGTCCGACTGCATTCTTATTTTTTTTGTATATACATTAGCCTCTCCTTCATTTAAGTTCAAGTTTGAAAGAACAGCAGCACAACACTTCCGTTAACAATATAGCTCAGTCGGTTAGAGCGACGTATAACAAGTTTAGGGATCGAATTCCGCTCTCTCCCCGCTGATTTTTATTTATCTACTCCACCATTATTTTGTTTAGTAAAAGTCCCGCAATGTATGGTTTCCTTTCAGAAATGATTTATCATAACTACAGTCAGGCTGGAAAAAACAACTTCCAATGCGTCGAAACAGTTTTTGGAAGAGGCAAGGATCCTTAAAATATATTTGACACATGATATGAAAAATATTATTCCTTTTATCTTGCTTTTGTCTTTTAAAAAGATACAGTATATTATCATCTAAAGACAATCATGATTGAATTATACATGCTCTTCAACAGAAACAACATAAATCATTTAAAATAACATGGTTGTTTATTGCAAAAATATTTGATTTGGCCCCTTGCCATGATCACAAAAGTTTATATACAGCAGAGGTTTCGCTGATTTGCAATTTTTCAAATTGTCCAGATAAACACCAGAACCGTTTTATCGTTTACCTTTTGCTTATCGTTGACCTTTTGCTTTGCTATTTCTATCTAACAAAACTGATGACATGATTAGGAATAATGACGATTCGTTTTTTGTCTCTTTAGCGACCTTTGAAAAGGAGAAAAATCTAAGAACTGTCACACTAGAAACTGGCCCTTGGTGGCTCTATCCTCCAAGGACATCGTCATTATATGACCCTAGCTGTTGCGAGAAAGTAAAACCCCCAAACCAGATCTATAAAGCTTCAAATATGTATTTTTCCTTTACTTAATCTTCCCTTTCTAATATACGACTAAAAACTTCCGATTGGTATGATCGTGTATTTGAAGCTAGTTGGCCATCAAACATTATATTGATTTTTATATGTGGAAATCAACGCGTACATTCCTATTTATTAACGTTAATTTTGTGTTATTTTCTCTGTGTAAATTTGATATTTCGGATTGTGTAATAATGACAATTAATCAAATATTGCAATTAATTTCAACATAAACGCTTTTTATATTGTATATTGAAAAGTCCATACACCGCTGCAATAAAGTAATATGAAATAATTGTTTTTAATTACTTAAGCACAAACTTATCAAAGAAAAACTGAAGAAACGTTTCAACACTTACGTTTTGCTGGAGGCAGGTTGGGTTTAAAGGCGATGTCCTATAATTAAATATCATGGAAACCGCTTTTATACTTACAACTAGGTCAAATACTGTCTGAATTCTTTACATACCGAGTATATCATATTAAGGCAGAGCTGTTTGGTTTTTGCTTGTTTGAGTAATATATCTGCGTTGTTTTTGCATCAGTTCATCCTGATCTGTCGGTCAACTTCCTGGTTGTAAGATTCACTATACATGCATTGGGTCGATGCCATTTTGAGGTCAAATCTGGGATCATTTAGAAATGCATTATGGGTATCAGTGCATTTAGAACACGTTATTTTTAAAAGAGGCCACAGTTGATAATGTACCTGAGACTTAGAAAATAACCTTAAATGTTACATTTTAGCATTGAATTTGTCATGTGTTAAGAATTAACACGTGGTCGATTTTTAACAACTTCTAGCTCATGTTAATTAAGTTACAATCTCTAACTCTTCTTTTCGTATTTTGTTTAAGCATAACACACGGATATGCGTGCAGCAAATATGGAGTATCATCTATAACAGAACCATTATTTGTATATTTGGGGTTTGACGTCTTCACCACAGCTAAGGTCTTATGGAAACGGGTCCACAGGGAGACACTCCTGTAAGGAAAGAATATGTGAGAGAAAAGAAAAGAAAGATCGAGGAGAATGATCTGGCATTGATAAATCAACAAGTATAGTGTTATGTATATCGCATATTAATAAATGATAAATAATCTCAAAATAAACGAATACTCGAACGATGTAGATACATTATATATATATTCATCAATCCAATAAACCAAAATAAACAGATGTAAGGAGAACGTTGATTAAATAATTTTAGTTAACAAGACGTAGGCGAGTCCTAAGTGGTACGATCAAGTATGTTCTTTTGAATGGTTGGAACCGTATGCCCCGCTCTCAGAACTTGCTGTAATGGGGATCAATAGGTAGTCCTTTAGAAGATTCCTCAATTTGCTTACATATTCCGCCTTAAAGTCCAAGGTAAATAGGTTAATATCTACAGGTAAAATAACCACTGAATGATCCTTCCCTTCATTGTCGTTTTCTTTTGCGCTTTTTTACAACTCCAAGAACATTGGATTAGGGTTCGAATCGTATATATACTAGATATAGCTTTATATTACTTTTGTTGATAACCTAAACAGGATTTATGAACATCTAAGCCAAGGTTATATTGAATAGCAAGGATTACCTACACCACAAGTAGCAACCATTATGATAGTTCCAGTAATGTAATTGGGTGGTCGGGTAACACAGTGGATATCGCACTTGCCTTCCACCAAGGCGGCCGGGGTTCGATTCCTCGATCGGACGTGAATAGGTATGGGCTCACCTGCCCGACCATGTGGGTTTAAAAACGTGTTTCATAATTGTTGTGAGACAAATAAAGTTTATATATAGTAATGTAAGACATTGTAATCTGATAATTGATTTCCAAATTTTTAAAGGTACCGATTAATTTTCGTTCCAAGTAGGGTGACTCGTTTGTGGACTATAAACAAGTAACAGCTAAAATTGTAAATAAGTAATGTTGTAAGTGGTTTTATACATACCTTTCCGCTTTTTATGTATTTCTACAAATTTCTGGTAACATTTAAACATGCAGTTTCATTTTTTTGATCTCAATTGCAATCGAAAAGTCCTAATAAGTCAAAAATAATATATTGTGCCAACAAGATTTATTTCATTTTGCATTCTGCTTCTGACCGTGTAAATAGTTGCTGTATTTACGGTAGAATAATGGTCTTATTGTCACCATTGTGGGTAGATGTCTAGGTTGCACATTCCTAATGCTAAACTACTGGAATATATTTTTCTATAAATTTGGATCCGGATGCAGTTACGCCAATGAACTATCTAGGCCGTAACTGAGAACCCGAATGCCATCAAAACTTCCTGGTGCTGTGGTTTTCCATACGGATGGTAATTTGAGGTCTAGTAAAGATATTTTGATATAAAAAAGATTTTGTCATACTCTATTTCACATTGCTCAATATTTAATGGTGTGTTTACCCTGTGATATGATTGACGAAATAGTTTTCATTCTATTTACAAGACATTCGTTAGTTTCGCTCAATTTTTGAAGAGATCATATAAGTACTGATTCTGCGTGTCAATGGTCTGACACTGTCTTATTTATTTTGCTTGTATCTCTCATGCATATTGCGGAATCGTAAATAAGAAGTAGCATAATATGTGTAAATTAATCATATTTCATTAGGGTAACTTTTTCATATGTAAGGTTGAAATAATCGATAGTAAATTTCTACACAGACATATTGAAAACCATTTTGTTGAAATACTTATTCGTATGATTACAAAGTAACTTTTTCAAATAAGTAATACTACATTTTGTAGATGGTACCAACTGACATGACGCGTGATGTGGTTAAGTCTTAGCTTATCTGCCTACATTAATATACCAAATGAAGATTTCATTCATTTACAGTAGAAACGATTTATCTTCATGATACATTTTCCATTTCAAGCAGGACCGTCTGAACTTCTTTCCATATCGTAAACTGCCTTCTGTAATCAAATGCATTTACTTTTGTTTGTCTAGTGTACGTACTATCTACTTCCGCAAGTTAGCTTGTAAATTTTAGCAATCATTGCTGAAGGCATGAGCGATAGAAATATAATTGAAAGTGTACGAAGGACAGAAAAACGATGGAGATAAAATTGAAGTCTTTATTAAATATTTTATATAACATTTTAACCTAAATATATGTAGGAGTCGTGTTTCTTTTGCGTCAGCTGACCAGTATTGCGAAAGAAAACAAATGACTTTTCATGTCGTAATTTACTAAAGACGTAACATCTGAATAATACCAAGACTGCTATGTCGCGTTATTACAAGTTAACACTGATAATAACGACATAGCTACGTCATCAAACTTTATTTCAGTGGCACTAGTTTTCTTCCGCATTCAAGTATGTAACATGCAGAACATGTATTTGGACAGCGTTATATGAATAAGCAATTTTAATGTAACTTGAATAACGTATTATATACACGGGCCTGTTCGTTTATGCGAAACAAAAGGGTAAACGTAACATTTTCGAGTATAATTCCTGGCGGACCTGCAAAACTGTATGCAGACGTTGCAAGGCTTTGACAATGCTCGCCTGGAAACAGTTTCAGAATACTAGGCCCGACCTTATTTCATAAACGAACGAATCTGGTCCAACCGTTTGGATCGCGATAAACAAAAACTACCCTAGTGTTCGACCATAGGCATATAATGACTGATATAAGATTGTAGTACAGGAATACTTGGCATTCGGTTGACATAGGTGGGATTTAAATGAGTCTAGGTTATGAGTCTCTTCTCTTTCTCTAGCATCACCGACGAGTCCTACAAAGACAAAACAGTGTAATGTATTTTTGGCATACAGTATTCATAAAATTACCCAATCTTAAAGGTGCAATCATATCTGTGTGTGTTACGTTCATCTGATATAATGATACATCAATGGCGCTAGATAGCAAAGTGGGTCTCCGTGTTGATTTACAACGTGAAATCAGGAAGGCATTTTAAAGAAACTCCGTAATAACAAATACACTTTAATGAATATGAAAATTATCTTATTATTTCAAAAAACGGTTTGATGCTATATGTATGTAACATTGTTAACATAACGTATTTTTTAACGTTATTGGATTTTGGCTTCTCAATCAACAAAAAGGAACAAAAATGAATTATCTGTTACTTAGATTTTCCATGGTAGCCGTTTGGTATCTTTCGAACATTTCAAGACCTGATATTAATACAATCAAAAGCACTCTTTTCAATAAATTTCATAACAGAATATTCTAGTAATAGATATTATTTTCAGTTAAATTAGTTGTTAATTTAACAAAGCGGCTTTCTAGAAATTATTACACTTTTTAGGAATCGGAAATAGTATGTTAATCTAACATAAGCAGAAACCTGTCTTTAGGATTTTGTTTTAAATCTTAACCAGAGTAAAATACAAGGCTTTGTAACTGGTATTCAATTGTAATCGTAATGCCATTACAATTATTCATCACCGACATCCTTGTATTTAGGACAACCTTTCTACATTTGATCAATCTAAATATATTTGAACTCCGGCATCCCTGTATCCATGACAACCATACACGCTCTGATCTGGCATCCTATTATCAATTTCAATCATAACATAGTTGACCTCACGCAGCTTTGTTTCCTTGTTAATCTTACAAACCTTGAATCCATGACAACTTTCCATGCTTTGATATGGTATCCTTTTTATCACTAGCAATCGTATAGGCTTTTATCTGCCATCCAATAAACTTACAACATCGTTGTATCAATTAAAAACTTACCAGCTTTAATTTTGTATCCCTGTATTCATAAGAACCTTACATTCTTTGATCTGGCATTCTTGTATCCATGGCAACCTTACCAGCTTTGATCTGGCATTCCTGTGTCCATGGCAACCTTACATGCTCTGATCTGACATTCTTTATCCATGATAACACCACAAGCTTTGATCTGACTTTTTTTATCCATGACAACCTTACCTGCTTTGATCTGGCATTCTTTACCCATGACAACCTTACATGCTTTGACTTTACATTCTTTACCCATGACAACCTTACATGCTTTGATTTGGCATCCGTGAATTCTGACAAACTTACGCGCTTTTATCTGTCATCTTTGTATTCATGGAAACTTTACAAGATTTAATCTGTCATCTTTGTATCCATGACAACTCTTTCATCTGGCATTCTGGTATTTCTGACGACCTCACAAGCCATGGCAATCTTACAAGCATTGACCTTGGTCATCATTTCGATGTCTATAACACAATATAACTACATTAGAAGGATATGGATCATGCTTTAATAAAGATATCAGATAAGTTAAATATATCATAACAAATACTAGATTTGATGCATGCATTGTGAAGTCTTATTCTCTTTTATCCCCCAAAATAAATATATTTCCAACAAATATTAATACTCATTAACAAAATATAAATATGTAAACATATTTATCAATTATCTAACAATCTTATTAATGATCTGGACACCCTTACTATATTTACTCTATGGTAAACTGGTATCCATGCTTTACAACGCATTATTGGTTCTATCACAATTCGATTGGCAGAAAATGAGTACAAAATGTCACACCAATCACAGACCAATGCTCTTGATTTGTATTTCATAAGAACCCTACAATCCAAAAAGAAAAACTGGTCACAGCCATAAGATAATCATTTGTTCTAAGTTAAGTTAACATTTGCCTGAATACTGGAGAAGAATTAGGAAAAGTTTCTTTACTTACTTTCTTTAGTGAGCTTCGCGCTCTTTTCCCCCAGGGGAGCCTCTCTCTTCATTTTTTTCACAACACAAAACCTCTTTTGCCCAGGACTTCCTCATCAGTTCTTAAGTAATATGATATAAAAAAAAATATAAAATGCAATTTTGTTTACTTTTTTCCCCATCTAATCCTCTGTTCCCAGACGGAACACAATTTTTTTACTATTTCCCCATCTAGTCCTCTGTCCCCTGAAGGAACACACCTTTTTCTACTATTTTCCCATCTTATCCTCTGTCCCTTGAAGGAACATACCTTTTCTACTATTTTCCCATCTTATATTCTGTCCCCTGAAGGAACACACTTTTTACTTATGCTCCATGCTAAATTGGGTTTCAATTCTTTTAATCGGACAAAAGACAATTACTGTTTATACTGATACATTTCTTTAAGATGACAATTGATCGGCTGTTTAAACTGATATTTTAAATGATTATTATGAACTGCTGTTTAAATTATAGATGAGAATACTGTAAATTTAAAAGGATTACTAAGATGACAATAGTTAATCTGTTTAAACTGATAGTTTGAATGATATTGTAAAACTGTTCTAATGATATTTGCGATGAAAATTGTTAACAAGAGGCACAAAAAGGCCTGTATCGCTCACCTGAATAAATATTATCCTGTAATACAAATATTTCACTCGGAAACTTAGTCGGCTCCATCTGTTGAAACTACCAGCAAAATATTATTATCTAATTCTATACTTTTTTGGGTTCTTGTTAGGAAGTTGTTTGACATATTTGACCCCTGTGACTTTATAAGGAGATCCAGATTATTTGAATTTTCATACTTTGTCAACGCAATCCCGGAAAACTACCAGTCAAATATGAAGATTCTATACCTTTCAGTTCTTCAGAATAAGTCGTTTGAAGAGTTTAACACATTTGACCCCTGTGACCTTGAAAGGAGGTCTAGGTTATTTTCATTCTCAAACTTTGTTGGGCCCTATCCCAGGAAACAACCAACCAAATATGAAGGATTTATACCTTTTAGTTCTGAAGAGGGAGTTGTTTGAAGTGTTTGACACATTTGACCCCTGTGACCTTATATACACGATCCAAGATTGCAATCATCTGAAACGACAAGGTGTGTCTGATGTCATTAAATTGCGATGCCTAATGTGATAAAAGTTTGCCCCTGCAGCAGAACAGCCTAATTGAAATATATTGATTATCTAGATAATGTTTTCTTAAATGCACTAAAATAGACACGAAAGATAATTTTACTTGCTCTTTTGTGTTGTCAAATAGATTAAGTCAGCATATATTGGAATATCAATTTTATATATATTACCCCAGATTCAAATCTGTCCTTGTTGATTATGTTACCAGCATTTTCTCACCCTCGTTAAATATTCTAAAAAAATACAAACACATCGTCGGCTATTCTTTAAACAGTACAGTGTAAAATTGTTGCATTGTGATAATATTCGTTGTTTGCACGGTCACAGAGAGGCAGCAAAAAATAGTGCATTGTAAACTTGTGCCTTCTATATCTATTTTTTGCGTTTCATTTTTATTCATCAACCAAGATTATTTGTACCAACTTTATTTATTTGAAAGTAATTGCAAAGAGTGTCAAATGTTTGAAAAGACCGGATTTTCCTTCCGCGTTTTGTTGGTTCTGAAGATGATGCCAACTTCTTCTTAAAAAGCTAGGCTTTCTTCCGTACGTACAGAATATAGGCGATCAAAAGTAGGATGATAATACCCATCACTGTGAACATAATCCAGAAAGTCTTCATTCCATAACCACTTTCTGGAATAAAAACCACTGTTGTAAGATAGTCACATTTTGTATATACTGAGAATAGCGTTGAAATGATATAGCAACATTAAAATTTCTAATAAGTGCAAAAAATAACAACTATGAAAAAATATAATATAAATATAAAACATGAGACTTGTTAAATTTATATATGAGAGTAACAATTTATCATACTATTTACTTACTATTTATCTTAGGTACGTAGTTAACTGAAATATCGAAAATTAAATACATACAGGAATACAACTAATATGACGTACTCTGATCCCGGACACCACTCTGATGCTGGTCAACATAGCCCTCACGAAAGTAAGAAGGATAGTCATGGCACACAGGAAATGATTTGGGAGGTTCTGGATGCATGCTGTATGAGCTATTGATGACCATTCTCATTCCGAAGATTCCGTGCACTTGGATGTGACAATGAAATAGCCATACACCTGGGTTATCAGCCTTGATCCTGATAACAGCGTAGCCACCGCTAGGTATAATCAGTGTATCCTTCCGCGGAGGATCGATAAGATTCAATCCAGGGACGTTATTTCCAAGCCAACTAGAATTTCTCCATGAAGCGTCGTTACATAAACTTGTTGTCATGTCCCCACTTCCGCGACAATCGATGTCATTGTTTTGAGATATGAACTTTGAGGTAGTCATATTATAAGTAGCATATCCCATTTTCAGCACGTAAAATGAATAACCATGGAGGTGAACTGGATGGGCGTCACCTGTTCCTACCCCCATATTCATCAGTACAAGTTGCACTACATCGTTATGGGTAGTGGGAAGTGAATGTGTACATTTGCATGTTTTTTCCTCCCCGCAGTCTACATTGTCACATATGGACGTTATCTCTAATGGCTGTGTTAGTGCAGACACTGTGGGATCCATAAACTCTCTTCCATTAACTGACGCAACTTCATCAGGAAGAGCAAAGTTTAAATAGTGTTCTTTGAATGTGTCCATAGATGTCGGTTTGGGCGCAGGGTCGTTGTTGACAGCTGACCGAAGATGATCAAAACGTAGACAGTCGGTATAATAGTCAGCAGGGAAGGTTGTGAAAGGACAGTTGACAACTAAACATCTCTCAACAGGAGTGCATATTTTCCTAGTCGTTAAAGGGTATTGAGACACATCTGCACCATTGTAGCGGAGCACAGCCTCAGATTTATGTGCACTTACTTCTAGGGTTTCAGCTCTTATCCAGTAGTTTCCAATGACTTGATTGGCATTGATGATAAAATCGTATCTTTCACCTGGGTTGATGATGAAAGATTCTACCTCTACTGGTTGGAAATCGTATCCGTCTGAAGCGACAAGAGTAATGGCATGATTGTCAATTGATATTCTAATGGGATATAGAGCTCCGACGTTGATAACCCTAAACCTGTAGTCCATTCCTTTTTCCACAGGGAAAACTGACAAAGGAGCACCATTATGTTGACCGGACTTGTTGTAGTAACGGCTTCTACCATTGATAAGAACGGAAGTTACATAGAATGGGTCAAAAAGACCCCCGTCTACAGATTGCCTCAGTGGTTCTGGTACACGATTCACAAAAGTTCCAAGCAGCAATTTCTGATGATCCATATCGGCTCCCCAGTTATGGTTCCAGTCTTGTACCGTCATAATCTGTTCCCTGATTGTTGATGTTCTCTCTCTAATGATGAATGCACCATTCATCCCTTTTGCTCGCTGATCACCGACATGGGAATGGTACCAGTACGTTCCTTTAGGTTCAGCAATGAAGTCATATGTGAACGTCTGTCCAGACAAGATTGGGCATTGTGTCACAAAAGGAACACCATCCATCCAAGGGCTTCGTCTTTGAGGAATACCGTGCCAGTGTACAGTCACAGTATCCGACGTCATTTTGTTGATGACGTGAACTTTAAGTCTTTGTCCCTCATACACTATAATTGGAGGGCCTGGGAGACTTTCGTTTGCTACAACAACCAGTCTGTTATCCTCCCAACCATCAGCAGTCATCACTTTATCCGCTGATATTTCTGTAGTTTGTGTTAGGTCGTCATATTTGTAGAGTTTACCATTGGCTGGGTAGACTTGTTGTTCGGTAGGGTGCATCATGGTTAGCCTATGCTGGATCACCAGCGTGGTCTCACACAACGTGGCGGACTTGTCACACTCATATTCAGAGCTGGGTAAGGCAAATGTCAATAGGACAGCAATGATGAAAATGATAAATCCCATCTATAGAAAAACAGAAATACATGAACATGTACATGTTTATTAAGGTGAAGTTACTTTGTTTGCCGGACAAAATATATAAGATTGACAATTATTAAAACGCATGTCTGACGCATCTAAACTGGACGATGGATCGATCGTTTAGAGACCAGCAAGAGAGTCACATTTACATGGAAGTAAACGAGCGATCGTTATACAATCGTCGAGAGAAACTATTATAGCATTGCATTATGCATTTATATAAAAGTAAATTATGTAAATCAAATTGATTCACCCGTACTAAATCCAAATTATAAAACTTCTTTTTAAAATAAACAAAATTATATTCCACCCTTTGATATTCGAATTCCATCCCTTTTGGATATGCCCAAATTAATATCAATACAGTCTAGGTTTCTTAAGTAATGGGTATAACTTCATGACTTTGCGTAAGGTAAATATATAGGTAAATTTAACTCTATTTAGCATATCGTAATTGTAGAGAAATACATAGAGACGATGTTGTCCTTGCCCGTACCCGCCTGGGCCCTTAATGCATTAAATCATCTTACGTGTATTTATTAAAACTCGAACTTTCAAAAGATGGTTACAGTAAAACAGCTATATATTATCAAATTTCAGTCATCTGTCTGACACATAGCATGTGAACGGCAAATATCTGTCCTCTCTCAAGACAAAACATTGCAAGCTGATTTTATGTAGAACCGGGTTGTACTTTAAAACGCCTCGTTGATATTCGTTTATCGGAGAGTCAAGGTCAAAGACGTACATTGTAGCGCGTTTTGTAGTAGCGGATGTATCTGCTTGCCAATTTGTTACTGGTAGGAACAGAGCTATCATGTTTCAAAATTCCTTAATCTCTCATTCGGAAAGGTATTTTTATTCCCAATTAACTTGCAAAACGAAATTCAAGTCTATTATTTGTTAAGTGTTACATTGTCTGTTTCAGGTTTCCTTCTCTATCCAGCATTCTGAACATACCTTATACTATCACATGATCACTTGTAAGTAAGTTGTCATCCCTATCAGCAAGTCTTAACACATCCTATGTTATTACATGCTGTCTCTCATGCCACAGTCCATATCTTTTTGCCTAGACATTTCCTCGTCTATCATATAACCTGTGACAGTTTGCTATCCCTATCTACCACCATAAACATGTCCTTGTCCTATCACAGTGGTCTGTAATGTGTTACTGTCCCTATCCATATGCCTTAATATGGCTTAATCTTTCACATGGTCTGTGACAGGTTGCCGTCCCAATCCACGAGCCTAGACATATCCTAGTTTATCACAATGGTCTTTATTGTGTTATTGTCCCTATTCATATGCCTTTATATGGTTTAGTATTTCACATGGCATGTAGCACGTTGTCGTCCCTATCCTTAACACGTCTCACTATTGTGTTACATGTTACCGTTCCTATCCACCAGCCTAGATCATGCACTAGTCTATCACATGGTCTGTGTCAGGTTATTGTCCCTATCCGCCAGCCGAGACATGTACAAGTCTATAACATGGTTTATGACAGGTTATTGTCCCTATCCACCAGCCTAGACATGTTCAAGTCTATAACATGGTATATGACAGGTTAGTGTCCCTATCCACCAGCCTAGACCTGTACAAGTCTATCACGTGGTCTGTGTCAGGTTATTGTCCCTACCCACCAGCCTAGACATGTACAAGTCTATAACATGGTATATGACAGGTTATTGTCCCTATCCACCAGCCTAGACATGTACAAGTCTATCACATGGTCTGTGTCAGGTTATTGTCCCTATCCACCAGCCTAGACATGTACAGGTCTATAACATGGTATATGACAGGTTATTGTCCCTATCCACCAGCCTAGACATGTACAAGTCTATAACATGGTATATGACAGGTTATTGTGACCTTGAATGTAAGCTGATGTTAGCACAGCGTGCTTCAGGCACAATATTGTTAAGCTCATTTACTTCCTACGGTTCAAGAATGTAGGTCAATGTTTCACTTCATTAAGCAAACAACAAAAACGAATTGTGACTCAATTGTTTACATATTTGACCTACATAGCATTCAGCTTTGATTCCAGCATGTTACAAGTAAATTATTTGAATATCTACTTGATGAAACTAAAGGGGAAACGTGTATTCCAAATGGAAATACTGCATAAAAATCGCAATAAATCTGTCATAAAGAATAGATTAGTGACCTTGATGTTTGTAGTTTTGCCAACTTTAAACAAATATCGATCACTGTCGCACATTTTAGTTGTGGTGAACACGAATAATGAATCCTTGCGTCCTTGAAACGTGATACCCTGAAGAAAATTTATATTATCCATAACATTGTTCTTAACTTATAAAGTTGAAGTTGAAGCTCAGTTTTAATGTTCCCCAGTAAAGCTTCTATTACAATGCTCTAATCTTTCGTATTGGAAAGTTTCTCCTTGTTATGTTTCCATGATATAAACCAATACTAAATAAACACTTTAACTTTAATATCGGTTGTCATTCCCATGTAATGTTCCCCTAAGGTAATTCCTTTAACAATATTTTCAAATTTTATATTGTAAGTCGTTTATCTGTCATGCGCGTCCAAAATACAACATATAATAATGCTCTTAACCTTTATAACGTAAGGCATTCCCTTTCCTAGATAATTCATATTATTCAAACTTTTATATATATGAAAACTCTGTCTTGTAATCTTCCCTAAGTTAAAATCTATAAAAAATATTATAACCCGTATATTCGAAGGCATTCACTTGCCCTGTCACCAAAGTAAAACCTTATACGATATCGTTATTTTCATATAGCTGAAATTGCTGTCTTTTTAATGTCCCATGAGTTGAATTATATTAAAATTATCAAACGTTTGATGTCGGTTTGCATTCTCTTGCAAGGTTTTCATAAGTTAAAACCTACAACATCACTCTTACTATTTACATCGAAAAACATATTTTTATTGTTCCCCTCAATTGAATCACGTAATTGATGTATCATATTACTGACTCATAATGGATATGGGGTCATCAAAGACAAAGCTAATATTTTCACTAGTGTTCTCATTTGACAAGCGTTTGATAAAAAGTGATATAGAGAATCTACATATCAACCACCATAGATCACACTCGATTTAACTTCAAATTATTTATAAATCATTTCAAAAAAGGCAGTACTTATATATTTAAACATATTTGTACAGTATAAGATATAAAATAAACATCAAACTCTCTAAACCTAGATTGTATTTACATGAACTGTCATCTTTTTAGAGTTTATACTCATATCAAATATCCTTTGAAATATGTTACCTTGAAAGATTTTGTTAATTAAGCATTTTCTTTAAAGTCTTGTTTGCAGTCATTTTGGGACAAGTTGGTATATGTTTGACAAGCCGTTTGCAAGGTTAGGCCTGTTGCACGATTTTCTTTGGAAGACAAACCATTTGTTTACCTAAGTTATTTGTTGTTTAACTATCACTTGGTTGTCATTAGTTGCGTGTTTGCTGCACGACAAATTGTTAAATGATATTGTATTACAGCAAAACATGTGTAGTTTTTTTTTTTGAAATGTGGAACGTCTAATGTTTAATGCATAAAACCAATTCAAAATGTCGATAGCTAGTTCGTTCATATAATACACTGTACAGTTTTAAAATGAAATATGCAGAGTTTGAGTACAGGTACCAGTAACGTACAGTTGTCAAAAGATACTATAGAGCTCATGGATAACACAAAATATACCACAACATTAACGGACGAGAACAATCTATACAACAGCCATAACGGATCAGGACAAAATAGTCACAGAAGCAAAAGAAAAGGACAAAATATATCGTAACATTAACAGACAAAATATACCACACCATCAACAGATAAGCACAAAATATGCCACAGCATCAACTGACAAGGATAAAATAAACCACAACATTAACATACAAGTACAAAACACACCACAGCATCAACAGACAAGGACAAAATACACCACGGCATTGACAGACAAGGACAAAATATACCACAGCATCAACAGACAAGGACAAAATTCACCACAGCATCAACAGACAAGTACAAAACACACCACAGCATCAACAGACAAGGACAAAATACACCACAGCATCAACAGACAAGCACAAAATAAACCACAGCATTGACAGACAAGAACAAAATAAATCACAACATTGACATACAAGGACAAAATAAACCACAGCATTGACAGACAAGGATAAAATATACCACAGCATCAACAGACAAGGACAAAATGCACCACAGGATCAACAGACAAGCACAAAATAAGCCACAGCATTGACAGACAATAACAAAATAAATCACAACATTGACAAACAAGGACAAAATAAACCGCAGCATTGACAGACAAGCATAAAATATACCACAGCATCAACAGACAAGTACAAAACACACCACAGCATCAACAGAGAAGGACAAAATATACCACAGCATCAACAGAGAAGGACAAAATATACCACAGTATCAACAGACAAGGACAAAATACACCACAGCATCAACAGACAAGGACAAAATATACCGCAGCATCAACAGACAAGGACAAAATAAACCACAGCATTGACAGACAAGAACAAAATAAATCACAACATTGACAGACAAGGACAAAATAAACCACAGTATTGACAGACAAAAGGACAAAATATACCACAGTATCAACAGAAGGACAAAATGCACCACAGTATCAACAGACAAGGACAAAATACACCACAGCATCAACAGACAAGGACACAATAAACCACAGCATCAACAGACAAGGACAAAATAAACCACCGCATAGACAGACAAGAACAAAATAAATCACAGCATTGACAGACAAGGACAAAATAAACCACAGCTTTGACACACAAGGACAAAATATACCACTGCATTAACAGACAAGGACAAAATACACCACAGTATCAACAGACAAGGACAAAATACACCACAGCATCAACAGACAAGGACACAATAAACCACAGCATCAACAGACAAGGACAAAATAAACCACAGCATTGACAGACAAGAACAAAATAAATCACAGCATTGACAGACAAGGACAAAATAAACCACAGCTTTGACACACAAGGACAAAATATACCACTGCATTAACAGACCAGAACAAACTATAACACAGCATCAACAGACAAGGACAAAATAACCACAGCATCAACATACAAAGACAAAATATACCACGGCATCAAAAGACAAGGACAATCTTAACACAGTATCAACAGACAAGGACAAAATATACCGCAGCATCAACAGACAAGGACAAATACACCACAGCATCAACAGACAAGGACAAAATACACCACAGCATCAACAGACAAGGACAAAATAAACCACAGCATTGACAGACAAGAACAAAATAAATCACAGCATTGACAGACAAGGACAAAATAAACCACAGCTTTGACACACAAGGACAAAATATACCACTGCATTAACAGACCAGAACAAACTATAACACAGCATCAACAGACAAGGACAAAATAACCACAGCATCAACATACAAAGACAAAATATACCACGGCATCAAAAGACAAGGACAATCTTAACACAGTATCAACAGACAAGGACAAAATATACCGCAGCATCAACAGACAAGGACAAATACACCACAGCATCAACAGACAAGGACAAAATACACCACAGCATCAACAGACAAGGACAAAATAAACCGCAGCATCAACAGACAAGGACAAATACCCCTCAGCATCAACAGACAAGGACAAAATAAACCACAGCTTTGACACACAAGGACAAAATATACCACTGCATTAACAGACCAGAACAAACTATAACACAGCATCAACACACAAACACAAAATATACCACAGCATCAAAAGACAAGGACAATCTTAACAGAGTATCAACAGACAAGGACAAAATATCCCGCAGCATCAACAGACAAGGACAAATACCCCTCAGCATCAACAGACAAGGACAAAATTAACCACAGCATCAAAAGAGAAGGACAATCTTAACACAGTATCAACAGACAAGGACAAACTATAGCACGGTATCAACAGACAAGGACAACTATAGCACAATATCAACAGACAAGGACAAACTATAACACAGCATCAACAGATAGGACCAACTATAAAACAGCATCAACAGACGAGGACAAACTATAACACAGTATCAACAGACAAGGACAATCTGTAACACAGCATTTACAGATAGGACAAACTATAGCACAGCATCAACAGATAGGACAAACTATAAAACAGCATCAACAGACGAGGACAAACTGTAACACAGCATCAATAGAGAAGGACAAAATAACCACAGCAAAAACACACAAAGACAAAATATACCCTAGTATAAACAGAAAGGGACAAAATATATCAAAACATTAACAGACGAGGTATACCACAGCATCAACAGACAAGGGTAAGGTATACCACCACATCAACAGAAAAGGACAAAAAAACAAAAGATTAACAGACAAGGACAAAGTATACCTAAGCATTAACAGAAAAGTACATAATAATCCACAGCACCAACAGACAAGGACAATATATACCACAGCTTTGACACACAAGGACAAAATATACCACTGCATTAACAGACCAGAACAAACTTTAACACAGCATCAACACACAAACACAAAATATACCACAGCATCAAAAGACAAGGACAATCTTAACACAGTATCAACAGACAAGGACAAACTATAGCATAGTATCAACAGACAATGACAAAATACACCACAGCATCAACAGACAAGGACAAAATTAACCACAGCATCAAAAGACAAGGACAATCTTAACACAGTATCAACAGACAAGGACAAACTATAGCACAGTATCAACAGACAAGGACGACTATAGCACAGTATCAACAGACAAGGACAAACTATAACACAGCATCAACAGATAGGACCAACTATAAAACAGCATCAACAGACGAGGACAAACTATAACACAGTATCAACAGACAAGGACAATCTGTAACACAGCATTTACAGATAGGACAAACTATAGCACAGTATCAACAGATAGGACAAACTATAAAACAGCATCAATAGAGAAGGACAAAATAACCACAGCAAAAACACACAAAGACAAAATATACCCTAGTATAAACAGAAAGGGACAAAATATATCAAAACATTAACAGACGAGGTATACCACAGCATCAACAGAAAAGGACAAAAAAACAAAAGATTAACAGACAAGGACAAAGTATACCTAAGCATTAACAGAAAAGTACATAATAATCCACAGCACCAACAGACAAGGACAATATATACCACAGCATCAACAAACAACGACAGTGTCCACATTTGAGGGAGTATCTTGAAGCTTTCTTTGGAGAGTCTTCTTACTAAGCAATTCATAATCTGGACTCAATTTCACACGGTGCTATACAATCAAAAGGCATCCAATGATACATCGCAGAAATGAATTAGACGATTGGAGAGACAAACAATTATGTTATCATAAAGCAGTATAATTGCGTTTTGATATCCTTTAAATCATATCCCGACAGGCTATCAATAGACTACTAACGTAATGTATGGCACTGGACAGGAGTACTTTGAGATAAAGGTATTTAAGGTTTTACCCTGCGCCGACAGATACAGTCATTATATACCTCCATAACCTCTATTTTTTCGTTATTCGAATATATCCCATTGATAGCATTATACATGTATACTCTTTACAGTTTTAATGCAAAGAATTGAAACACATATTTTTTTTCTCTAAAATATCTACATATGCCACCAAGAGGCGTTGAATTGTCGTTGTATAGAAAAACAAGAGACCAAGATGGCCTGTATCGCTCACCTGAAAATTTAAGCAGTCATAGCAAAATATTCTCATTAAATATTATATGGTACTTCAAATGTTTCCCTCGCAAACTTTGTCGGCTTTGTTGAAACTACCAGGCAAATATTATTATAAGATTCTATGCATTTGTCTTCTTCTTTAGAAGTTGCTTGACATATTTTTCCCTGTGACCTTGTGAGTAGGTCAATGTCGTTTTCCTTCTTAAATTGGTTAGCTCTATTCCAAAAAGCTACCAACCAAATCTTATGAATTCATTCCTTTTAGTTCTTACGAACAAATCCTTTAAAATGTTGTTGACCTCTGTGACCTCTAAAGTAGGTTGATCGCTGTGACCCTGAAAGTAGGTCAAGGTTATTTTCATTCTCAAACTTTGTAGGGCTGTATCCCATTAAGCACCAGCCAAGTATGAAGATTATATACCTTTTACTTCTTCAGAAGAAGTCGTTTGAACCGTTTGACATTTTTGAACGCTATGACCTTGAAAGTAAGTCAAGATCATTTTCATTTGTTTGGCTCAATCCCAGGAAGCAACCAGCCAATTTTAAGGTTTTATACCTATCAGTTCTTCAGAAGAAGTCGTTTTAAGTATTAGACATATCTGACTCCCGTGACCTTGAAAGTATATCAAGGTCACTTTCATTCTCAAACCTTGTCGGGCTCTATCCAAGGAAACCACTAGCCAAATATAAAGATTCTATACCTTTCAGTTCTTCAGAAGAAGTCGTTTGAAGTGTTTGACACATATCATCCTCTGACATTAAAAGTAGGTCAAGGTCATTTTCATTCCCAATCTTTGTTGGGTTCTTACCAAGGAAGCTACCAGCCAAATATTTTGGTTCTGTACCTTTCAGTTCTTCAGAAGAAGTCGTTTTAAGCATTAGACATAGCTGACTCCCGTGACCTTGAAAATAAGTCAAGGTCACTTTCATTGGCAAAATTTGTCGGGATCTATCCCAGGAAGCCATAAATCAAATATAAAGATTCTATAACGTTCAGTTCTTCAGAAGAAGTCGTTTGAAGTGTTCGACACATTTGACCCCTGTGACCCTGAAAGAAATTCAAGGTCATTTTCGTTTTTAAACTTTGTCGGGCTCCTACCAACAAAGTTTTTAGCCAAATATCATTACTCTAGGTGTGTCCGTTCTTCAGGAGACGTTGTTTAAAGGAAAAGTTCACGGACGAGGACGGACGACGGACGCTGCACCATGACAAAAGCTCACTTGCCCTCCTGGCAGGTGAGCTAAAAACTTGACAAAAATAGTCTTATCCATGTAAATTGGTTCATTCATTGGATATAAACAATTTTGCATACAATTACACCATTCAGTTTTTTTCTTTCAAAGGCTAAATTTGACATACGGTGGCAGTTTTAAGAGTAAAATGCTTTTGTCGTATTGATTAAGAAAATAAAACAAAAATAATGGACAAACATGAGAATCGACTCATTTAATAATTTTAACGAGAGTTTTTTTCACCTGACGTAAATTTTGATAGGATTCAAAAACGTTGCACCTAGCATAAAACATTTAAACATTCAAATCACATACATGACTCATTGTACTTCAAAATACGAAATGTATGTGGTACTTTTAAAAACGTTCTGGCTATTTATTGAATCTTAAATGATACGATATAGCAAATTTTCAAATATTCTTGATTAAGTAAATATTGCTTTAAATTAATTAGGATAGTGTAAAAAAAAGTAAACCTACCTTCCGTAGTAGTCAGTACAGCTCGGTACTGTCGCTTACCACTAAGATTTCTCTTACGAAATAATCCAATGCATATGTGCTGAATGTGAAACGAAGCGTGGGTCACATGTGTACTGCAAGTGGCTTGTGGGAGTGTAAGTTACAGTCCGTCCATTCCTAGCAAACATGTTAAGGGTGCATGGCAGATCTGTTGAAGAGCTAGTTAGCGGCAAAATAACTGATTGACAGTATCAGAAATTGTTTAAGTTTCATCCTCATTCAATTATATTATCAACGGTTTTCACTTGACGGACTTAATTAATTCATAATCATATCCAGACGTATCTTTTTACCTACCCTACACTGCAGATAATTTACATGTACCTATGTGAGTGAGTACTAATCATAACCAGGTAAGATTCTCAATAGCCCAGTCTGAGTGTATCCTTCATAATGGATACAAGTGTTTTTGGATTACTATCCAGGTCCAGTGTCAGGGAAGGTAAGGAGTGTCTGTTCAAAATACGGGAAACAATGTTGAATTTCTGACTACATTTTCAGTTTAATTTTCAAGATGTGGCAAAGGTACAGGATACTGAAACCATTTTCATACATACAATGTAAGGGTTTATCAATCCCTAAGGTATTCCAGTTCTTTCAATGAATGGTATATTTGAATGTGCAATTTTATATAAAGGAACAGCTCCTTAAGATTATAAACTTTTCCGGGAAATGCTTATCCTCTCACGTGATAAGGAAATCTGTTTGTGTTTTTCAATCATGAAATAACCATTTTAAACTTTCATTTTTTCCCCTTATTTGAAATGTGTCAACTAAGTTTATCCTCTACTGTATTGACTTCATCGTTACTCACTGATTGATTATCTCCCCTTTCTTACAGCATTTGTGGCCACAGTCCACTGGGCACACCCCCTTTCATGGTCATGTAATCATGATTGGCCTTGAAAGGGGATTATGTGTGGAGTGGACTGTGGTAGCAAGTGATTTATTGCCCACACTTTTCCATTGTGAGAGGTGGGAAGTATGCAGTAAGAGCATTTATTCCCCCACAACCACTATGGATTTACTCACTCCAGACTCATCGATCAAACCTGCTAGACACTCGGTTTTCAAATACTACATATCAAGTGAGTCTCCTTATGAAAAATAACGGTGGATTTGGCTGATATATATTCATAAAAATAAATAATTTTAAGATAATTATCGGGATTTCTACCCGTCTGACCAACGTTTTGTTCAAGGATTTCTCCTTTCTAGCGCATGCGCATAGCACACCATTTCATTGTAAACAAAATGACTGGCCGTGAGAAGGTAAGGAGAGTGAAATCGTTACCGCGTCATCTACGAAGCGAAAAGTTGCCAAATGGTCCAAAGATAACCCAAGGATTACATTACAGAAGCATTATTAAAACATGTGGCTCTGAAGAATAAAATGATTAAAAATATCAAATCCACCGAAACATGTCAGTATTTGCATATACCAGACTTCAACGCTGCTGCTAACATTGTCATAAAGTCATTCCACAGCAGTGATGACTTCCTTTGATATTAACATGATATGTCAGATTTGTTGTGCATAGTCATTATCTCAAATGTTAAATAACTAACCCTGTCAGTGCAATGTGGATGTTGTGTACAGCTATGGGTGTTAGGTATGCATGGGGACCGGAGAAAATTACTTCCATTAGCTTGGATGAATCATTTTCATCAGACACAAAGGATTTATTTTTTGCATTCTTTTGTGACTCACTAACACGAAACTTCCTTTGTTACCATGTTACATATATCTATGGAATTTAATTATTCTGGTACAAAAAACATTTTATTTCTTTAGAAAGTTGTGATATATATACATAAACCTATGGATGTATGTATAATATATGAGTGCTAGGGTTGGGGTGCCAAAGGTTAAACCCCCAGCAACAAACAAGTGTTTTCCTCGTGCAAGATAGCTTTCATTTCAGGGGGGGGGGGGGGGNGGGGGGGGGAGTCATTTGTTTACGTTATGAGCTACCGATAACTACGGCTTCTGTTTCGGACAAAAGAAACTGATTAAAGAAAAGTTGTCTGAACATTAAAAAGGGTCCATTAACAAGAATGCTTTAATATTTGTAAAGTATTGAAAACATATAATTATCAAGTATTACAACACGTTCCGTATCGGACACATATTCTACACGTACACGTAGTGGTTTTGCCAGACATGTTAATTGTTTGTGATGGCTGATATGACTTACTAAGTGTTAACGCATGAAGGCAGTGAGTGTGGGAAAAAGAGTATACATGTACATGGATATATATATATATGCATAGTCTAGAAAAAAGTGGCAATTTTTTTTATACTTATACTTTTTAAACATTTTAAATAGGATATTCGTCTCGTGAATATTCCATTTTACAGAAAGGTTTGTCCCATGATTGAAGGAAGGTGTTTAGCTCCGTCACATTCCGGTAATAGATATTTCCTGTTATCTATAAATAATGCCGAGAGGCCAACAAGTATTTTTACATTTAAATTTTGAATAATGGCATGTGTGCAATCAACTTCTAATGATGATTAATTACTGCTTAGGGAATTCAATAAGTTTCAACACGGACTTGGAAATCATATTACTTGGTTTCATAGTGCAGTAAGAAGTTGCAGTTGCCTGACGGCCCCTCACTGGGGGCCCCTTTGGAAACTTTGCATCTCGGTCAGACCACCTGTGTTTACCGCCTCGTTTCAAAATCGTCAGGTGACGTTAATGGCACTATTGTTAACAGGGCTTTCCCGAACAATTCAAGTGGTCAAACTGGACATTTGGAACGGACTATGGATATGGGGATAGCAAGGTAACATAAGTGGAATAGCCTAAAACACATACATTCATTAAAATAAATATGGCTCTTCACGTGATGTCCCTTTAAATGTTTATAAAACCACCATAGTATTCACCAGGGGGTGATATGTCTCTGCTCAAATGAAAACACACAAACAACCGACGTAAGACACACTACTTTTAATAAAAAAAATAAACGGACAATTTTTATTTTAGAAATATCAACCATTTCGCCGCCATAAAATATGTTGATTTGATTTTTGATAGATTTTATATTTACTTATTTTATGATTTTTTAATAGAAACATATCCGATGCTTTTTTACCTTGTATCACATAACCTAGATGTCGATGAATATTTATCTCGCCATTGTGACGTAAAATATATTTATCTTAATTATGACATCTTCATGACTTTAATAAACTGGAGCTAATGCACAGCATATGAAATCCGTGTATACACTTCATAACGCGGTAGTCTGTGACTTCATTCTTAGCATTAATGAGCATGTATGTACACATTTTGAAACAATCCTGTTATGTAGACATAAATAAGGTCACCTTGAAGTCAGTGTGATGTGAAGATTTTCAGCTAAGTATTAAGTAGGGAATTTACGACCATTGATCAAACGTTATCTTTCATTATTCACATTTCGACTTACATTAACCCATTATCCAACATTGAGTCAAACAGATATTAAGTTACATCGTTATTTCTGTCAACATTGACCTTCGTTGTCTCCTTAGCTATTGTGTGATGTGGTTTGATATGAAAATATTTCGTTTTATTTTATGCATTGTTTTTAATACAATTTTTAAATTTGCTACTTTTATGGTACTTCTAGAATACGAATACTTAAATTATGTTGATGTGTCTTACCCTTTTTTGAGTTCAATTTTGTAAACATATGCTTATACATTTTCTTTAATAGTTGTCATCTTGAAGACTTTCAAAAAAACAAAACAAAAAAAAACCCTGCTATTAATAACAATATTTGAATCTTGAAAATGTGCATGGAATAAATCAACTTAAAAGCCTTTTGGAGGCGAAGATCTATCGTAGATCTAGGGACACACCTTTACCCGCACAAGACAACCGAGATGCTCGGAGGTAAGGTAATTGATACGCTTCTCCCTGATTGAAGTTCTAGAACGGCAATTACAACGAACTAATTAGTAACCCATTAAATGTGAAATGCAGAGTTGTCAGAAATGGAATTTATGTTATTAAATTCCAATGCCGTTTTTGCGTCAGATTATTAGGTGATAACTCCAGTTGAGCACGTATATATTGAATAGAGGGTAAAATAGAAAGCCCTAGATCGATTTAGATAGTTTAACTTGTTAAGTTGAAAGTTGAAAGTATGAATGTGCACGTCCTGTTCTGCACCAGGATGCTAGTACATCGAAATATAGTGCAGTTATGCCGAGAGTAATTCCAGTGATATTGTGGCGTTTCACAACAGAAGTGTTCGTGTTTTTTTGCGTGTTTAAAATAAAGTTTTTAAATGTTTCGTCTTGAGTCTTGATGGAAATTGACCCTTGCAAATAAAAATATCAACAGGAAGAAATCATTGATAACCATCAATTTTTTTAACCAAAAATACATTTTTCTGTGGGGTGGTGTGTTCCAAAATTTATTTTGCTGTTACTTTGATATGTATTCTTTGTGAAACGGCCACCAGATTGGAGGAATTAAGTCTGTCCCACATAATGAAATCCCTCTACGCCTCTATAAGTTCGAGTTTCCTCTGGACCTGACACCAGTCTTAGTCATTTTGACAGAAAGATGTCTGATGTAAGACATCTGTCAAAATGTCTAAGTCTGGTGTCAGGGCCAGAGGAAACTCGGGCTAATACCAGACATACATCTGGCAAAATGTCTTAGTCTGGTTTCAGGGCCAGAGGAAACTCGGGCTAATACCAGACTTATATCTGTCAAAATGTCTAAGTCTGGTGTCAGGGCCAGATGAAACTCGGGCTATGCCTCTGGTGTCAGGGCCAGAGGAATATCGGGCTATGTCTAAGTCTGGTGTCAGGGCCAGAGGAAACTCGGGCTATGTCTAAGTCTGGTGTCAGGGCCAGAGGAAACTCGGGCTATGCCTCTATAGGAAAAATATTGAAACGTACGATTTAGCGTTAGATATTTTAAACATGCATTCCAATGAAAAACGTCGATAAAAACAAATGCTTTGAAGGTAAGAAAAAAAGGATTGCCGAGCGTTAGGAGTCGAAACATACAGCAAAACGACATTTTGGACTACATGAAACAAATCTGGGTTACGTAATAACACTTTGTGAAAGATGATGATAACTTACGAATTCTATAT